GAGTCTTGAACGGAGTCCGTCGAGCTATTTGCTCCTGTTTGCTGTGCCGCCCAAACAAATTCCCGCGGTCGGTTGAGGAAGAAGTAGCGTTTTCCATGAAACGTTTCAACATTCAACGTTGACCTCAAACATCATCCCGCATAACAGAATGATTATCAATAAATTTGCATTTTCTCTACTGGCGGTTTCAAAAAGGTTAGATCATTTGCCTATCTGGTCTATCAAGTCAAGTGAAAGAAAAAGCCTTTCAATTTTCCGAGTTCAATGAACTTACTTATCAGCTCCATCTTGGCTGTTATTATTCATATCATGCCATTTTATCTGCAGTTTGCTCGGACGATGACTACAGCGTGCCGCGTTTAAACACGCTGGTGAAATTAGGAGTTAAAGCGCCCGTGACCCGCTGCACTGAACCATTAATCAAGATCAGGAAAGGCATAATTACACTTTACTGCATGCTTACGTACCGACTAACGTGTTTGTTCACTTTTTTTATATTTCAGTCACACTCCATGAAATATAGCATAAGTGGTATGAATATCATGTCAGTTTGAACCCTCGACCAAGGCTTATTTGTCTTGAAATCCTGATTGTTCCCAGCAGGCTGGCCTTCTACGGTTCATCCATCTTCGTTAACGCTTCAACAGTGAATTCCCGTAGGAGCTGATGGCCCGTTTACATTGTTTCACTGGCATCAGTCACCACAGAAATGATTTTTTTATAATACTCATGATTTTAATCCTCAATTCACTAAATTTCAGTACCCTTCCTCCTTCTTCAACAACATCAAGCCCTATAAACGATGTTTCACCGCTTTTTCTACGAACAAGCTATCTGGACGATGGGTCGATGATTTTTTTTTCAGTTTATTACTGGAAGTCCTGGAGTATTTCCACCTCTTTCGACTGATGCTTCCACAATTTCTGTTTTCATAAATGCCAGTTGACTAACACTGTAACTTTGTTGTTGCGCCTTACATAGATTTTCGATTAGTGAGCGCTTTGCAGCCGGAAATTTTATTGGTAACGGTCTCCTGCTTCACTTGATTATGTACTTTGCTTCTAGCTTCATGGGCAAAATCTTCGCTAATTATATATTCTTATTCCGTGCTTCGTCTTGGGCCGTTATTAGAAGGCCTTCCGTTCGCCATCGTCATCGAGTCGACTTCTTGAAAGCCAGTCGAATCTGGTGGGTGGCCATGTCTCCATGAAGTAGGCGAAGAAATTCCTTATTCTTCAAACCATCGCATCAGGCATTTCCAGGTGATTTCTGGTTTGGCTTGAACGGGCTGTTAACCTCTACAGCCGTCAGCACCCCGATGATCACTGCCATGCCAGATGATGTCTCGTGTCTTTGATTCGGCAAAACGATCTTCCTACTTCTTTGCGACGGTCACTCTGTCTCAGTGTGCTTTTTTGGATGCATCATCGCGTGCGTGTTCAAAATCTGTCTTGCCTTTTTATCCACTTCTACTTTTTCCGTTTGCGTTCATTGGATGATGTTTCTTCCATGAACAAGAACTGGCATCGCACACTGGATAATGGCATTAGATTATCAAGTTCTAGCACATCGAGGTATTTATAGGACTATTCTTCTTCCAAGCTGATCATTTTGCCAATCGGGAGTGTCACTCCACCGCTTTGCCGAAACTTTTCATTTTTAATCTCGACAGGTGAACATCTATTCGAAAAGAACTGTATGCTGACATCTTCAGAAAAAAAATCTCACGCTTTGGATCAGATTATCCAGTGTTTTAAGAAATTTCGCATACAACGTCAGGTCGAACAGCAGATGCGAAAGAACACTGCCGTTTTTGAAACTTATATCCTTAGCTGGTGTTATTTGAGCGGATTCAATGCCAGACGAATGGCAACATTGAACCTCGCTGGAAGATTTCTCGCATCAAGTTCACTGATCCCAGGAGGAATCTGTTACACAGCGGTGCTGTCCTCCACTGCCCTCCACTGCTTCATCACTCCTCTGTACGCTTTACCAGGTCTTCGTTGAAAATATAAAATTTCAGACGTTCCAGGGCGCATCTATGTGGTACCAATCCAGTGACTTTCTAAAGTCGATCCATCCCATGGCCATCTTGGCCTTCCTTGTTTTACAATCCCAGTGGAGCATCTTTCCACTAGTAGCTTGTAATTTGGGTGACCTTCATTTCGCAAGGCACCTATTGAGTTCAGTAAATGTTATGTTGCTCACATCGAGAAGTTCGAAAACTCCGCTGGATAATACAGAGGTCAAGAGTTTCTAGGTCGTTCGAATGCACGTAATCCACATCTAGTTAATTCACATCGTCATAACTCCTTTCTCACTCCTTTAAACTAGACATTTCTCCATGAACCAACGAGACAGCCTTTCGTCAAGCACTTGGTGCAAGAATATTGCTATTCTTGAATGCAAACACGTCAGTCGTTTAAGACAGAGCACATGCATCTGGTTCAGGCTGGCGCTGCATAGATTTCCATGTTTCTGAGCGCCTCGCGCAAACGCTCTTAAGGGATTGTGATCTCACTCTTTTTCAGAGATTCCATTTACGTTCTTTTCTATTTCGTTTATCTAGTCAACTTTTCTGGCCTTATCACTGTCTCATATCCTTGTCTAGAATTGAAGCGATTCTTTTGCATTAGAACCAACGGTCTCTGCATCGCTTTCAAGTATGTTCTTTTCGTGCAATTCTATGGAAGGCTTTAGGCTTTTTGACGAAAAGCCGGTTTCTATACCGCTCGAAACAGTTGTGGCATATCCGAAGTTTTGTAAACGCAGCTAGGAGCCTGTGCATGCCATCCTTTCATGCAGCTCTGACTGTACATTCTGTATTTGCTAATTATTTCCTCACTGATCTTTATGTTGCCACTGTTCATTCTATGCAGCTCGTTTACTTCTCCGCATTTGCTTTTGTTTCTTCTTCCTGATTCTTCTTAACCACGGACGGTCTTCTCATTTTTCAGATCCTTAGCGCATAGTTTCTTTGCCATCACTAAAGGATCACGCACCACACTGGTGGTGGATTCCAAATAATTGGATGATATCGTTTCAGGGCACTGTTAGCTTGGCTAATATATTCACATAGCTCTTTTTTGCCTCTGATAGGAGGGACACGCTTCCTAGGTTCTTCAAGCCGTTCGAAAATCCCGATGGATCTTCTGCAAAAGCCACTATTCTTTTTTATTCAGCTGGACAATTTGTCATGTGACCGTTGCGACCTCTGCTCGCATGGCTTTGTCCGGCATGATTTCACTAATATATTAAGTTGACTGATCATCTGGTGCAGGGGTGCCATTATCATGCGCTTTTGTAATCTCATCCAGTGCGTTATTCTCAATGAAGCGTTCATCAATGTTAGATCATGTTCGCTTGCATCCCTGAGACGGTAAGCCTTCCTCCGTACTTTCAATGTTCTTTTTCGACAGTCACTGCCCTACCGCACGGCACCACATCGCAACCCTGTTTGTTTCCTTTGACCATTGCTAGCGCATCCATCGCCATTCTGTCACATCCTCCGGCAGAGAAAGACGTTAAACGTTACATTCGTCCAATTATTACAGACCGTCTCAGTTCCCAAACAGCCCATAGTAGCAAAGGTGTAGACCGATCCGGCATTGGAACATTTTCACTCTGATACACAATAATAGGTAACGGTTGATCGCACTTAATCCGATATCACACATTCACTTATATGCTTGGATGCTTGCGTGCACATTTACTTGTCAACTTACTTACTCGCCTTCTCATTTAGTGACTTTGGTACCTGTGTACTTAGTTACTTAGTAAAACAGGGAAAATCATTTAAAAATTAATGACTTATTTACCTAGTCGGTTGCCTAACTATCTGCTCACTGATTCGCATACTTTCTCTTTCCTACAAACTTTCCTATTTACTTGCTTACTTAGTTATTATGTAGGAGACGGAGCAGTGATAATGAATTTGAAAAAATTGTGGACTCTGAGACACAATGCATAACTGAACATACCAGAATTCAGAAACCATAGCGACCACGCAGATAAGTACCATAATCGCTCAACACCAAAGTTGCTTGAGATTAATCATTAACTCGTTGTAGTCGTACGTGTTTAAACGCTGCATAGTGTTACCCTTGGGATGTTTCTTAGGAGAGGAACTTCACAGAGTTTAATGCAAAGGTTTGATTTGAAGCATTTTAGGAGGTTGACATCTGACTTTAAAGTGCTATAATGTGACTCTCGCCTTTCATGTTCGACAAGGAGGCACAGAGATTCAAGTGGCGTCCTGCCGTCGTAGAATGGGCGAGATTTAAGCAGTCACCTAGTGCCATGATGCTGTCTTTTAACTTCGTATTACAGTGGCGTGCTGGCAAAGTGCGTAAGTTGACGGTTTCGAACTGGAACTCCGTTGGTGCCGAGTACAGCTTTCGCGGTAGACAATTTTTGTCTTTATTACGGATACCCCTGAGCACAGAAATAACAACATGTTTGCGTCAGGCCAGAGTTACTCGATCGGATGAGTGTCAGACACAGAACCGAGAGGTTCTGGGTTCGAGCCTAGGTGAGGGTCGCTCGCTTTTCTTCTTTTCGAGTCTAATCAGTCAGTGGAACGGAAAAATAAGATAATGCAGGTTATGCTCACACAGCTGCTGTCGATTGTACCTTAAAAAATAAGGGACCAGTTGATGAAATGGAAATGGAGATCAATCCTCCATTTACTTCATGAAAAACGGGTGCTAGATTTAGCCCAATCATAGAGGCATCAGGAGGACTGACGTTTTCACGATTTCAAGCTTGCCAGGTGTCGCTTTAGCGTCGTCGTTCATTTGCTCAGTTGTATGGACTTCGTCCTGTGAAGGGTCTTTGATTTTTTTTGAACTAGAATGGGCAATTATCAAATGCTGTGGACATTTTGCCGTACTGACGAATGGACGATCGATCGCTGTGCTGAGCATACACGCTGCAATCGCGTCAGCTCTTAGAACGCAACTGGCCACTAGGTTGCAAGTCACATTAATTATTGAAAGAAATTATAAATCCCAAGCCGCGCATACTTTGTTCCGTTTTTCCCACTGCTGCGAAGCCGCAATCGCGGTCACCGCTTGTTTCCACGCGTCGATCTGAGCGAGAAGTCGCACAACGCCAAGTCTGCATAACAACGACGGTCTGAACGGTAAATACAGATTTAAAATTTCGATTTTTATTAATTACGACTTAAATAACTGATCGTGCGAGGTAGAAACACACCCGATGGTGTACAATCTCTAGAATGGATTCCGCTGATTAGAGATAGCGGTCTTTTCTACAATTCGTGCTTCCGTCTCACTAGGAAACCAAAATTTCTGTTCACCTCCGTCTTCCGTTCCAGGACAATACAAACGAGAATCATGGGCATTTTTAACTGTCATGGTCGAATTATTCTGGAAGTAGTTCTTTCAGTTCAATAGTATTAGTTGAAGCTTTGAAATCTGATGTACAGGGGTAGGGAGGTGAAGCAAAGTCCTCCGACAAGGTATTCTGTTAAAATGACCGCAAACTCGCGAAGGAAATATGCTACGTCGGTATCGGATTGACAATCCGCAGATGCCGGTCTCATGCCCGGATGAAAAATAGCAACGTTAAGGACTGCGACATGGTCTCTTGTAAAACATCCACTTGGTCTTCGTGGTACTATCGTTATTTAACTGGATATCAACTCGACTGTCGCTAGGACTGCTCAGTCTGTAGGGAAACAGAGCAAGCTGCGCGAAGTCAATGGTCAAGACCGGCGTCAAGCCTGGCAGCTGGGGCTGAAACAGCATGGCAACGAAGATCGAATAAACGACGAAGATACCAATTAGCAACGGAGCCTCTACCCCTTCTAAACGGATGGGCAGCAACGCGATGCAATTGCAGCAAGTTAAAGAAGGTTCAAGCGGAAAGATGCCGACAGTGGAAGCTCAAAGTCGGAAATCGGAACAAATCTTCACTCAGAAGGAAAAATCTAAATCTACTGACAATGCTGTAAGGCACACGCTTGAGATTGTTGCATTTCATCAATGAACTGCTAGGAATCTGGAATTCTGAACCCCTGTATGAGGAAGTTACTCTATTCAGATGTCGACTTCACTACTGCGATCGAGCCGATGTTAGTATTTGAGTAAATACCTACTTGGCTGACAGAATTGTCGAATGGAGGCCTGCCAACGAATGAGTGACAATTTTCCAACTAAAGTTACAATAAGATAAAGTGTTGAACGTGCTACAGGCCTTCCTGAAGGAAGTGGAAGTTCTTTATACAAAGTGCCTGTTACGAAATCGATCATTCTGATGTCCGGCATCAATGTACATGCCACAGAAGATACTGAAAAGGGCAAAGACCTGATTGGAAATGACGGTCACACAGACCTCATCTACGCTGAAATGAAATTGTTGCGCCTTAATGCAAATAACGGATTATCTGCTATGAACACTCTCTTCGAGCATCAAAATGTGCTTCATCATACCTGACAGAAGAATGCCTGAGCACAGAACTCGATTATCCATTTGATAGTCGTATCGTCTGACTTACAACGTGCCACAGCGGATGACTGCGCTAAGAGAGGCGCAGAGCTATCAACCGATCACCACGTTGTTGTTGGTATCCTCAGTTGCAGACGGAGTTCTGGTTCTCTGCTACAACTTGGCAGCAGCAGTAGCCAAGGAATCAAATGGTAAGCACTTTCTTCCTAAGTGAGAGTGAAACTTGCAGAGAGCATCCTATCATGGTTTGAACAGTTATGACGGCTGACTGGAAACCCCGTGGAAGATCCTTAAGGCAGACCTACTCGGAAATGCAGCAGAATACTGAGGTTTAAAACGGAGTCACAAACTAATTTTTTGTGGACAGGAGAGGCTTACCTGGCTGCCAGAAGAAAAAAGCACATTTAAGACATGGTTCGGAGGCAAAGAGCCTTCAACTCGAGTGAAAAACGAAGGCAAGGTAGCAGCAAAAGCAGTTGCAAAAGCGTAAGAAGTTTCCTAGGTAATGCCCGGTGAGATGCTGGAGTCGAATTTCCAGATGGTAGACAACTCGAGGCTTCTGAGATGGAGATAAGGCAGTCTGAGAGACCTGAAGAACACATCGGGACGCCCTTTTATTAAAGAAGATGATACTGTTCAGCAATGGTGAGAAAACTTTGAGGAACTCTGCATTATAGGCGGGAAGAATCACCTGAAGAGCAGCAAGACACTAATAATGATCTTTCAGTGGAGGAAGTCACAGAAGATGCTAAAGGCTTGAAAAGTGGGAAGGCTGCAGGAATTGATGACATCCGCCCTGAGATACTTAAAACTTTAGACGAACAGAGTATGCTGTGGTTAACACGTCTCTCGCAATCCACAATGACTACTGCAAAGACACTGTTGAATTGGAGGGCAAAAGTGATAATACGCTTGTCAAAGAAAGGGGACCATAGGGTCTGCGCCAATTATCCGGCACTGCTTAATTAAGCCTCCCGGGTAACATCTACGCGAAGGTTTCACAAGGATGGTTTCGTCGAATAGTTGACCCTAACATCCAAGAAAATGCAGTGTAGCTTCGGATCAAGCGCAAGCACGTCTTGCGATGTATTAGCTTTATGCCAGGTTGTTGAATGTTTCTGTCAGCTTCCTACCTCAACCGTTCCAAAGCAATTTCAGAAAACAGCCCCACATAATGAGACAATATGGCTATAAGATGGTAGCTAGGCCACTCGCTTGCCCAGCCCCCTTTAAACGTACTGACAATTATTCCACGCTTAAATTCACCAGTGAAGCAGTGAAGCTGTTTGACGCTCATATTTTATGAAACAAATAATGGAGCTTTCCAACCACTCCCTTTCCGTCATATGTAATTAACGTCGATGAAATTTAGTCAACAATGCAGGTCTTGATCACGGTGGGGTAGATGAAAAATTTTGGAGTTTAATTTTGCAGGCAGATCTATGCTAACTACAGTGTTGAGAGGAAGGTAACGGTGAGAAATGGGGAATCATTACAACAGCTGTTGATCGGCTTTTGGAAATACTCAAGCTATCGTTTAAGACGCTGCTTCATATGTGCCAATGGGACGTACTTAGAATCTTGCATAAGAGTGAAGCGCATTTCCCGCTGACCCGAAAGCTGTCACACTCCTTGAAACATTGCCCGCCTGTCTTCGTTTCTGAAAGCTTTATTGATCACCGTTACAGCACCCTAGCAAACCATTTTGCGTAAACTAAACTCTCTCTTAGAATGTTCTTCTGACGCGGGTCGCTGGTCATATGCAGTGATGTTTCAGTGATCCAGAAAGCACTGATGATCGCAACTGCGACACTACTTCTTGTATAGGTTTCCATGTCAAAAGACACGGAAGATGAATTCCAACTTCAATCGGAAAGTGTCGTTTGAAATCTGTGTTACAACATGTCGTTGGCTGACCCTTGGCGTATAATCAACCTGCCATGTTAACGTCTCAATGGGATTGCCATCAGCTCGTGCCAAAAATAGGAGCCATATCAGCGAATAACCTCATAAGATTTGAAGAGAAACCGAAAAACTCAAAACACATCAATCAAAGATCAACAACGACAGGGCTACACCGTCTGCTGGTTATCAGATCGAATACGCAGCTATCAGCGGGTCAAGGCGAATTGCAGCCGTCAAGAGGGCGGTGCAATATGCCGTGAAATCTGGTCTCGAAGGAGTCATACGTTATTTGATATACTCGGATATACGAAGAGCTCATGATCATGCTTAAAAGGAGCACCAGCCTCTGATGGATCGTTCGCGATGAGCTGAAGGTGACTGTGGCGAACAAAGCGATGCGAAATTTATTTAGCACTGCATTAGCTCAAATACCACAGAGCCATGACCTTCGTATATGACCCCCCCCCCTCCCCCATGTAATTAGGATAAGGGGGCTATGCAGTGTGAAATGCGGTCTAGGAGATGTCATTCACTAGGTGTTATTGCAACAGGTGTCACCCTCACTACTACGCGCAGTGTCCGTCACCAAGTTCAGCTAGTCTTTATTCCAGCGTTTGTAGTCATACACTGCAGGTTCAGAGAGGACTTCAACACCAATCATGACACTTTAGTACCTAGTCATAACTTGCCCTCTTTTTCAAAGCCATCCAGGAATTTGAGGTGGCGTCAAGTGGACTGGAGACGATTTCCTCCGGTGGGCATTTCAACATGCCCCAGCAAATGGGATGACGTCATTTCAGGCCAGTACGGATCTTGATGATATTATAAAATTGATTGACACGGGTTGTGATCTTAGATATATGGTCGAAATCAGTCGTGTCCTCAAGATGATCCATAATCACGAATGATCTAAATATTCCAGTTTCCTCACGTCTTCGATTGTCATGGCCAATCTGTCACATACATAAAAGGGGGGGGGGGGTAGAATGGATAAAGGTA